TCTTACTAAATGATCTTACAAAATGGAAATACTTTTGATCAAATGAATCAGTGAAACTGAGTTATCATAATATCACCATCACAATGAGAAATCCCATAAAAACCAAAACAGCAGTCGACTGAGGAAAGACAGCTGTCCATCACTGCATTCACGACTGCAGGTAAGCGCAGCTGTACCCGAGTGAGCCGAGAAGAGAGCTTATCTGATAGTGAAATGATCGTGAGACACATGCTTCCTTTAAGTTTCCTCGAGGGAGAGTGGTTTAAAAACAGAAAACACACAACGCTATAAGAAACTTTGCTTAGCACACCGTTATGTTTGTGTCTCTGTCTGGAACGTCTGTGTCGGCATGCTATTTTTATTGTTATCAGACTGAGGAGCCAATTTTTTTACCCGAGCATGTGGATATTATTGTTTTTCTCAACATTAACGTGTGAAACAATATAAACACGATAAACATAGGCCGACTCGAGTGTGTAACTTACGTTCTGTACTGTAATTGGCACGGGCTGCTTAATTTTTTCTGTTTGCTTTGCTTGAGCTTGAATGCTTTTGTTCTTTAAATTATAGATTTTTTTTTTTATAGAATGTGCATCTCTACTTCAGAACTTTGTTTCTTAGTCATTTATTGTCTGCTGAATCTACATGCATATTCATGATCTACCCAACCCCTGCTGGAACCTGACAGACAGCGGTTATAATATTTTTTCATTATTTGGAGAAGATTGTGTCTGTCCCCTAATATCTCATGTGCTTTTAGGCTTGTTATGATTGGTAGAGCTGGTGAGAATAAACCGCTCTGAAGGCTCATAGTACGAAAATTTAAAAATAGCTTAATATAGTATTGAGCAATTTTTTGTGTGTTATTTAAATAAGGGCAATCGTGCGTTTGGAGATAGAGGAGGGTTTGCTGGACCACTGCCACCTGATTTCCGGGGCCCAGGTCCAGTACAGCCACCAACTGAAGCGTTTAATGCCACTGTAAGTTCGCCCATGTATTTCATTTCATACTAAATGATTGCTATTGTATAAGTCTGTCATGTGTTGTAGATCTGCAATGCAATGTCTGGTGTGCTTGTGTTTCAGAGCATGGCTCCTCCTGTGAAAGGCTGTCCACCCCAACCTCCAAAGAAAAAAGATCAGCCGGCTCCGAAAGAGACTGAACCTCCTAAATCGATGGCATCAAAGATATCAAAATTCAAGAATATTTCTGCAAAGTAATTTGATGGTCATATTTTGTACTTATTTAATTTTTTTGCAACCATGTTCTATGTGTGGTCTGTGTGACCTCTCTGCCATGGCCTCTTTGCTGGAAATCAGTAGTGGTTTTGAGAAAGTTGAGATTGTTGAAGTAAACTCGTATGTTTTTTTTTTCTTCAGTACTCCTCGTGGACGCTCATTGGGAGTAATTTCATTCATTGGTGTAAGTATTAATAATATTACTTATTATATTAATAATAAATAATAGACCTTAGATTAGACGGCATATTGCATTTTACATGGATAAACTCGAGGCTGTTAAAGATAGACTAACACCGTGTCTACACCGGGCGCAAGTGGCGCAACAAAATACTATAGAACCGTGTGGCCACGCATCGACGTGACACGACAAATCTCTACAGTAAACTGATGCGTCGTTCCATTCATGACGCAGTGTTAATTTTGACAGGCATTTTTTTAGTCTTAGTCTTTATCTTGAGACGAAAATGCTTAATAGTCTTAGTCACATTTTAGCAGAGGTGGGGGCAAGTCACACATGTTCAAGTCTCAAGCAAGTCTCAAGTCACAGTACAAACAAATCAAGCAAGTCAAGTCGAGTCCTGCTAAGGATCAAGTCAAGTCAAGTCACAGTATCAAACAGGAACAAATATTTTTTTGCCACACGACCTTATTAATTTTTCCTCAGAAATTAACTTAATTATACATTTTAAATAATAATGTTTTAAATATAACATTTTGAATATAGGCAAAATACTACTTTGTATACCGCTATTGTCTGTAATTGAGAAAATATTGATAAAAATACAAGATAAAAAGATAAACGGAGCAATTCCAATAGGGTCCTCACACCATCGGTGCTCGGGCCCTAATGCTAAATAATATGCAATGCTGACTACAAATCACCCCTTATATCAGAAATAAAATGGACCCAAAATTTTCATCGGATATAGACACCCTATTTGGATTGTTTCTTTCACTTTGCATGACATTGTTCCATGCCTACATTGTTCTCGAAAACTATTGTCATGGCTCAAAACAAAAAGCCTATTGCTGTTAATGTGCATGTATCTTCCCCTGTAACTTATTGATTTCTTTGATTTTATAATAAGAACTAAATTGACAGCTATGCCAGACTCGAGTCAAGTCATGTGACTCGAGTCCCCCACCTCTGGCTGTCACACAGATCTGGTATAGGCTACACATGCGATTTCTTTCGCAGCTATTTACGTTCAAAGATATATCTGACTGTGTTTATGTGAACTTTGTGTGGTTTTGACAGTTTAAGCGCAATAAGACGTGAAAGAGAACATAGTTTTTTACTCATGTGACGCGCTGTCTGCCAGCCAGCTTTCTGTGCATGCGCTTCGGATGTGTGAGCTCAGAAAACCATTCATCAAAACTTTAATAAACTTGCATGATGTCCTGCAGTGTCACGTGATCGTGACCGTGATAGACATGATAATCAAGACCAAATAGATGTTTTCTTTTGGCAGAGTAGGTGAGGCACAAGCTGTAAAGGCACAGTCCTCTTCTGGAAAAGGGGCATTTAAAGATACATGCACAAAAACAGCACGTTTTTGCCTCATTATGGTCATTTTTAGCATGGAACAATAAATGATCTGTTAGGTATTTTAAGCTGAAACTTCACATACATTCTAGAGACACCTGAGAGTTGTATTACATATTGTAAAAAGGGGCATAATAGGTCCCCTTTAAGATTTACTATTTAAAAGTGTTGTTGTGCTACAGTTTGTTTTTAAATGTGTTGCCTTGTTTGAAAATCTCAAAAAAAAAAAAAAGTGAATATCAAAAATTTCACTGTTTTTGATTTCCCCTCAGAATAATTGTGGTTTCATTGAACGGGAGGATTTGAAGAAATTTTCTTTTATATTTGATGCTTTTTTTGGAAACCGAGCTCACCTGGTGCCTGGGGTTAAAGTGCATTTCACAGCAGTGAAAAACCTGGTAAGTGTTTATATAGTATATGTGCAAAAATAATTCATTTGTTGAAGCATTTTGCATATGGATAGAAAATGTTCTCATTTTTGTACCATAACTGCTTGTGATGTCAGGGAAAAGAATGTGCGGTTGATGTGAAAGTGGCACCAGGAGGAACAGAAGACATTGACAGTACGATGTATGAAGGCGTAGTTCTCACAGCCCTTCCTGATGTGAGTAAGACTCTCACTTAAGTAATTATATACAAGATATCCATCCATTATATCTAAGGTTCACCATTCACTTTCATTTCAGCAAAAAGATCTAGATAAATCAAATAAAATGTTATTGACTTCCAATTAAAGTAAGAGATCACTGCACTTGTCAAGCCATTTGATGTATTATTAATCTCACTATTCAATATTAGTCCACTTGTGTACTGAGAATAGAAATATAGGATCTTCTCATGGGAAGAAGGGTTGGAGTGCTGAGCGTTGAAGGAGTTCTGCAGATGTATGTGTGTCGACTTTGATAAGCAGAAACAGTGATATTAACTGCTTATATTAACATATTAACTGTCATCACCTTTTGAATAAACTGTTTTAAACACGTATTCATAAATTAAAAGTGCTGAACAGACATGTTTTTTCCCCTCTTTGTGCATGTATGTGGGTGAGTTAGATAAGGAAAGAATGAGAATGTCTGGAGGTTTTAATTTCTTAAGCAACATCCCCCAGAGCTTCGTCAAGGCCAGATAGTCACATTTACAAGATGGTCACATACTGCACACACTAGGGTTATTATAGTTTTAGAAATTTCACTAGTCACTAGTCAAACAAAGTCTCTAACAAAGTCACTAGTTTTTTAAGTGTTTTGTAACAATCTCATATCTGTCCATGATGGCAAATACACCATACTTAATAACATCAAATTCACAGAAACGCAGAATACTGTACTGCAGAAGTTGCAGTCAAAGAAATGTGTTGTGAATGTGCCATTGCTGCTACATTTTGCAGTTAAGTGCTTTGGCTTTGGGGCATTTATGATTCTGCAGTTTGATCTGTAAACCTTACATCACTTTCTAGTTGGGCAGATGCCAGATAGTCAGAAGTCAGGGTTGGAATTTGGAAGATTGATTAAAGCTGTCCAGCATTGATTAAAAATCAATTTGCCTCTACTTTGTTTTTATTTGTATTGTAGCGTTTTGACAAGTCTTTGGAGGAGATTATGCAGTCCGTAGGTTTAATCTGTAATGGTAAAAATGTCGACTTGTATAGAGTTGTAGGTTAAATCCAAAAATCTCTTTCTATATATGTATTTCATAAGGACAATGTCAAGGAGGCTAATCCTGGCCGCATCAGGACCGTTTTCTCTAAGGATCCCATTATATTGCCCTTTGGAAAGGCAGACACCAATGTGACTCTGCTGCTGTATGATCGTGTGGAGTTCCAGTTGCTGACAAATGTTATTACCAAGGAACAAAGAGCCACAAACATCAAACCAAAAACACCCGACACTTTTCAGCTCACCAAAGAAATCAGGAAGATGGTAAGTGTCCCATCATATTCCACTGACCTTTTTTCTACATTTGTCTGTGAAAGTGTAGGACTCAAGAATTCTATGCTTATCCCGAAGGCATGAGCTTGTAAGTGTTCATTCTTTTTATTCTATAGAGAAGAATGCATCTCGACCAAAATAGCATTGTCGCTGTTTTCTGTATGATTCTGAAAAATGTTCTACTTGAATGCCTGTGTAAAGAATGGCAAAACTCTTAGAGATGTCTTTGTCTAGACCAGAGTGAAGGTGACAGTAAAGCAGTCTTACTCTGCAACAAATGCGACTGAGAGCAAAGTGAGAACAGGAAGTTAAGATTTGAGAGCAAAAGGAAATAAGTTGAACAATGTCATTGAATATAAAGTTGAGGCTTTGAGTATATATTATATTATTTAAAGATTGTTTTAATGTTCTTAGATTAGAATTTAAAGGGTTAGATCACCCAAAAATGAAAATTAGCCCATAAATTACTCACCCTCAAGTCATCCTAGGTGTATATGACTTTCTTCTTTCAGACGAATCCAGTCGGAATTATATAAAAAATTGTCTTTGATCTTTCAATCTGTTTAATGCCACTCAGCAGGTGTTGCATGCATCAGTCCAAAAGAAGTTAAATAAAAAGCGCCCATCCATAAAAAAAAATGTCTCACACGGCTCCGGGGGGTGAACAAAGGCCTCCTGTAGCGAATCGATGCGTTTTTGTAAGATAAATATCCATATTCAAAACTTTAATGTAGCATGCGCCAACAGTTGTACATGGAAGCAGTTCCGGGAGAATGACGTATGAGTTCAGCACTGCGCATGTGCCGGTGAGTCTCGTGAAAACCAACGTTTGTTAACAGGAGCAAAGGAAGCAAAGTTTCCTTACTTTAGCAAAGAAAAACCAGTCTCCTCTTGGCTTATATCGAAATCCTCCGACATTCTTCTTTACAAATCCTCGTTTTGTACTTCTAATAAGTGACCGTTGTTTTGTTTTGATCTCTCCCCTGCGCTTCCGCGTTCGTCACTTCTGAGCGGCGCATGCACAAAGCCGACGTCCTACGTCATCCGCCCGGAACTGCTTCCGTGTTCAACAGTGAGCGCAAGCTATATTAAAGTGATTATTACGTTTTGAATATGGATATTTTTTTTTTACAAAAACGCATCGATTCGCTACAGGAGGCCTTTGTTCACCCCCTGGAGCCGTGTGAGACACTTTGTTTTATGGATGGGCGCTTTTTATTTCATTTATTTTGGACTGAAGCACTGCAACGCCCGCTGAGTGCAATGATAGAGCTTGGAATAGCCAGGACAATTTTTTATATAACTCCGACTGGATTCATCTGAAAGAAGAAAGTCATATACACCTAGGATGACTTGAGGGTTTTTTATACCCAGACAGTAATTTATGGGCTAATTTTCATTTTTGGGTGAACTAACCCTTTAAGGCTTATAAGACAGAAAAATGTTTCAATTCATAACTCCTTTTTTCTACATGTTTATATTTGTTTGCCTTTTTTTTTTGCTTTTGTTGTTGCTTTATCCACCTTATTTTGCAATGCAGAAGTGTATTTTCTGTGTGACTGCTATAGTTGCTATAGGTAAATAACTAGAAAAATAACGCAGTTAATGCCAAAACTGTTTACGCTACAAAATGGTGTTTGTTTAAGATAAAATATCAAAATTATATGATAATAAATACCAGTTTGCAATATCAAGCAGCAAATAACTGGAAGCGAATGACACCAGAAGCCTCGCACATTCATGTTACAAATGGAAGCATCCACTCTTATATTAAAAATAAAGTGGATATTTTCTGCTTTATTTTTGTCTCCCTATCGCTGTCCTAACCAGACATGACGTGACATACAGGCGATAAAAGGTGTCTTTTATATGTTGATCTGAATTTTTGTCCTAGCCAGCCGATATGCAACAAGTGACAGGATTCTGTTTTTGAAATGACTGTGTATATCATTGTGCACATGAGTTTAATTGCACCTTTGTGCTAGACATGAATGATCAAATCATGAGGCATGTGGAGGAGGTGTGAGATTACTTTTTTAAGTTGTTCGTATTAAAGAGACTCTGGTTGCCACCCAGAACACTCTAGCTCTGGTTTTTACACAGACAAACACTATTCGTATTTTCTTCCAAAAACATAAAAATGCGTTTATTATTATTTTGTTGGCAGGGTGTGGTTATGAACAAGAGCGATGGAACCCTGACCATCATGACAGAGAAACATGATAACCTCAAGGCCTCTGCTACTGACAATTTATCAGATGATGAGCTGAATGTCATGGATGAAGTGGAGCTCACTATTTTGACTGTGAGTAAAATTATTAGTACAACACATTGTATCTTTCTTTGTATTCAAACTTTTGATTGTATTCAAAGCTTCCTAATATACAAATGCTGTGTATTGAAGGTGAACGACACAAAGAAGGCCGTCCGACTCAAAAAGCTGCCCGAGGGCTCTGTGACCTTTAATCAAAAAGCAAAAGGCAATGAAAATATTTCTGACGCAAAGGACAGTAAATCTGGCACTACCCCTGGCAAAGACAAGGTACTTTAGCCTATTAAAAGGCATTGTTTATTCTCAGCTGTCCTGTTGGAGATAACTTTAGGAAATTGTTGCGCTCGTGGAAATTTTCACTTTCTTCTAAAAGTGCATTTACATCTTTATCTGCAGTGGAAGCCCGTGACCATGGAGGCTGGTTCTCAAGATTCAGTCTCCTTAGACGTAAGCAGTGAGAAATACGAGGGGACGATTACCAAAATCGCCCCAAAGAAAAGCCCAAGCCAGGAAAAAGTGGTAGGCTTTCACCCTCCTGCAACCTGAACACAAACAGCATCTTATTAAAACCTGAAAAAAATCTTGATAAACGATTACAGTGCATTTATAACATTTGAATCTTATATAGAATAATGTAAGACTGTAATGTTGTTTTATGACACTTTGAAAATTATGAAATTTATGAAAATTACCCCATTATTTACTCACCCTCTTTCTTCTTTCAGACGAACCAAATAGGAGTTATTAAAAAAAGTTCTTGCTCTTCCAAGCTTTATAATGGCAGTGGGTAGTGGTTGAGATTTTGAAGCAAAATAAAGTGCATCCATCCATCATAAAAAAGTAATTCACATGCTCCGGGGGGGTTAATAAAGGCCTTCTGAAGTGAATCGATGCGTTTTTTGTAAGAAAAATATCCTTATTTAAAACTTTATAAACTGCAATCTCTAGTTTCGACTAACTGTCGGTTGGTTCTCGCGAGACTAGCATATTCTCACCAGCGCTTACGCTACACCTACGTCCTATGTCAGAGGTCCCCAACCATCAGGTCGCAACCCAGTACCGGGCCGTGGAAGTGTTGCTACCGGGTTGCAAGAACGTTCTGGGAAAAATGTGTAGCCTATGGCACTCTGTTATATATTGCGTTTTGTTGATTATTCTAATTATTCTGTATTTCTCATTCTTTGTGCTTTGAATATTTTTTTCTTGCTTATGTGAGAAATCATCTGATCTGTGACTCAAAAACCACAATATGATCCGTTGAACCACTAATATATATTTAAATATTCCCCCATTCACTGCCATTATAAAGCTTGGAAAAGCCAGGACATTTTTTTTTATATAACTCCAATTGTGTTCGTCAGAAAGAAGAAAGTCATATATATCTAGGATGGCTTGAGGGTGTGTAAATCGTGGTAATTTTCTTATTTTTGGGTAAACTATACATTTAATAGGTGATCGTTTCACATTTGTGACGTGTGAGGTAGACTTAATGTAGCCCTACATTCACTTATGGATCTTATCTACCTCTGTTGTTTGAGAACATCTGATTGGAGATGAGAACTTCTGCTCTACGTCTACACATCTGTAGAGTTTTTGACTTCTGAAGTGCTGGAACTGTTGGCTTCCAGAAATGCATCTATTAGTTTTGAGGGTTTTTTGGAAAGTCCCCTTGAGCTCAGCTTGTTGCATTGAAAGGATGCATGGATGGTTTCGTAATTATTTATAAAACCAAAGTAAAAGGTTTTAATGTCATTTCCTTCTTTGATCAGAGCACTATTTTTCAAAGCGGTCATGTTTCGGTTATTTATTTATTTTTTCCTTTTGAGCAGATGGACAATCAAGAGCCCACGTTGGGTCTTCTGGTCACCACAGTGGAGGGCACAGAGAAGCAGTTGTCTTTTAGGTCAGGTAACGTGATCACGAAAGCCACCATGATGGTTGGTGACAAGGTCCAGTTCAACATTTTCACCAACAGTGTGACCAAGGAGGAGTGTGCCGTCAACGTAGAGATCCTGCCAGAAACTTTCCAGACAGACTCTGAAGAGCAACGTAAGATAGTAAGTGTTTTGCAGTTGTGACCATCCATGGTGATTTGGCCACTGCATACAGGATGTTAAGTGTGCATTTAGGTAGTTGTTTTGAAGTAGTAGTTGATTAGCAGCTGCACCATATCTTAAATTGGCATGATACAGCTTTCGAAGATGAAAATAGCCCAAGGTTTGCATAGTTGCACTGTTGGTCAGTGTAGTTCCGTATGAAATGCATGTCATGACTAGGGCTGCACGATAAACATCGCACGATATTTAACGCGCATCTCGTCAGTAAAGCCGGTTCTGTAATCAGCGGTAAATCTCCATCACGTGCGTGCTTTCAAGTGGAGCAGCATTTACTACACCGAGCCGTTGTTCACTGGCAAGCTGCGCAAAACCACGATCATATTTTGCGCAGCTTGTCAGTGAACAACGGCTCTGTGTAGTTAATGCTGCTCTTCAGTGCAGTAGCTCTTCAGCATTGATGTTCTTCCTCAAGTAGATTGCATAATAGGACATTAGTTATATGGAGAGAAGTGGCATTAATTGATGTCAAATAAACATGATTGTATGGGATGCACTGAAATGAAGTTCATGATAATATGATTGATTGCACTGCATCCACCTGGATGATATGATGGCAGCCATAGTGTGCTAGAACATTTAGGGCCTGTTTACACCTGGTCATTTCATGCGTTTTCGCTGATCGGATATCTATCTGATTTGTTAAAACGTTTCCATTTACACTTGGCCACATAATTGTGTCGTCGCAAAACGGATTTAAATCCGATCTTCAATTCCTGCGCTATATTTATTAATTATATATAATTTAACGGAGTTCACGTCAACGAAATCAAAAGATAAGCGCTGCATTTTATTAATTATCAGCTCATTTCAAAATCAAAGACTGCGATAGGAGAGCGCGTGGCATCAGCACTGGAAAGATAAAGTTTGTCTTACTTCTTTTAATGAAGATGATTGTGTGTTGACCGTCTGCGTCTTACTTTGTTTCATTCGCGGCAGTTTGAGCATCAGCTTGCTGAAGAGATACTCAGTTACTCGTCCGCGGCGATGCGTGTTGCAATAGCGCAGTCATATCTGACTATAATGTCATATAGCTTATAACACACTCTCACACGTTTATTTTAACATTTTGGGAGGAGCTAAATTTACATATGTGGTTTCAACAACCAGATGCATTTACACTGGTCCAGTTTCGTCTGGAATGCGGCCCAGACCACCTCCTGAAGTGGTTTGAGCGATTGGATTTATATCCGTCTCGAATGCGTTTCGGAGGGCATTTACACCTGGTCTTTTCACGATCTGATAGCTATCCGATCAGACAAAACGCATGAAGTGACCAGGTGAACACAGCCCCATAGAGTGATGTAGCTAATGAGGACGATTAGGACGTCTTTGATGATGGAGGTCCATGCAGATATATTAACATCTCATGCATGAGACTAGTGTGGTTAAAATGTCCTGTACTTTGGTACCAAGTTAGTACTGAACCTTTAAAAATTGAACAATACCAGCTTTCTACAGTACTAGTAGTTCTGAGTCGTTTTGATACACACTGATAGGTGTTGATTTGAAATGCACCAGTGCAGAGTATGCATAGGCCTGTCACGATAACAACTTTTTGTTGTGCGATATATTGCCCCAGAAATAATTGCGATAAGCGATATTACTGTCATATTAAAGACCATTTTATGCCACTGAATATATAATCATAATGTAACAGCATAATAATGCAAGAAGGCCTACACACTTCCAAATGACAACAAACTTTTAATTTTAAGAATATTTAGTTATTGCTGAAAAACACAATCACTACCTGGCAGTCAGTATGCACAAAGGCACAGATCCCTAAACAAGGCCATATCTGCAGATGAAACTTTTTTTTTTGTAGAAGCACTTTTTAAATTTGAACTAGCACTAGCATGACTACACCACGTTATGTACGAGAAGCTGCAAAAGACACAGGCGCAAGTGGAATGTACAAAACATGGTGACATAAATTTTTAAGTAAATATAATGGGCGATATATTGCGATTATATTATATTATAATTAAAAATTATTGAGGTCATGTATATATATTGCGCGATAAGTCGATATATTGATTATTGCGACAGGCCTAAGTATGCACATAATTGTGTATACTCTGTGAAGGACATCAAGTGTATCCCTTCATAATATTCTGTGGGCCAGGAACTTGGAAATATCAGCTGAATTTACAGTCATGTTTGATTGATTTTTCCCATAGACTTCAGTGTGATTGAAGCACACTTGTTGTCCATTTTAAATTTCACACATGAGAGCGGGTAGACGTCAGGATGTCTTAATATGCCATTTACACTATGTCTAAAGTAACATTTCTTGTGCATTTTTCTCCAGAGTTTCTGATATTAGATTTTCATCATTTTTCATATTTTTGGCAAAGATTTTGGCCTGTTCTCTTTTTCCAAAAATGACAGGTTTATTGCATTTTCTGTGGTCGAAGTTTTGGTGCATCCTTGCATTTTAGCATTTGTAGAGGAATCAGAACCCAGTGAGGTGCTGTGTTTTGCCACAGCTAATCTTTAAGACAGATGCCCAATCCTGTTCCTGGAGATCTGCCTGCCTGCAAAGTTCAGATCCAACCCTGATCAAACACACCTGTCTGTAATTATCAAGTTCTCCTGAAGATCTTAATTAGGTGGTTCAGTTTGATAAGGTTTGGAGCAGAGCTTTGCAGAGAGGTAGATCCCCAGGAACAAGATTTGGCAGAAATATGTTCTTTAAGGTAATTAATAACTTCAAACACAATTTTATGTTTGCTCATGACGTGCTTCCGTCTATTAGGGGCTTGTTGTCAAGCTGGATGATAATTTTGGGTTCATCAAGACACAACAGGACCCGCAGCTATTTTTTGACATAAGTGAGGTTATGGAGGACACCAAACTCACGTTGTCTGAGAAGGTTGAATTTACCTTAGTACTGGTAAGTTTTCAGCCGCTGAAACATCATTGTTTCAGTGTTACTACTGTAACAAATTTTGTCCATGAACATTTTGTAACTGCTAGATTTCTCCTGCCCTGTATTTTGCTATTGTAGTTTCTGGCTTTTGCTGGAAAAGTAGAGGATACATTTTGGTTGCTGGTATGTCAATCCAGCTCTTTGTTGATGTAATTGTTATACTATTTGAAGAGTCAAGCAGCTGAAGGGGGAAAACAAGCTGTTAGAATAAGAAGGCTGAATGAAAGCGTCTTCACATCTGCACCAAAATTAGAGGCCTTTGGAGTAAAAGAGAAGGTGCAGTACATGACTTTTATTTTGTTGTAAGATTTATATACTAGGGCTTGCACAGATACTTGTTTTTACTAGTTGTCCAAAAATTAGGTGGGTCAATACCTATTGAATCACAACACACTGCAGAATCAGTGGTCAAACATGTGCCACTTGCTTAGTTTCTTTAGGGTTGTCTGTAAAGTGATTTTATTAACACTTAGGATTCTTTTTCTTTTTTTTTACCTTTGCCTTAATTATGAATATATTTATCTGGGGGAAGGTAATGAGTGAAATGCAACAACACTGGGACGCAGTTGAGCTTATTCTTTGTATGGAATAAGTCTAATTGAAATCATGAGATCCACTACTAGTTGGCTAAGATCCAGTGCCTGCATGGCAGAATAATGACTAGTAATACCTAGAACTAATCAACAAGTCAGTGCAACCCCTAGTTTATATAATGTATTGTTTATCAAATTAGTCATTTTCCATGGGTTGGTTGATCCCTAAATGTGGATTCTGCCATATTTGCTTGGCTGCCTGCAGAAGAAAATGACTATCAAATTGCTGAAGCATCCGAAAGACCAATTCAAGGAGGAGGTCAAAACAGAGGACAAAGGCAGTGAATCAATGGATGTAGAGTAAGTAAATCATGTCAGTCCATTAGTTAAATGTGCAGATGTTCTTCAAAACTTCATTGGAGCATCATTACATTGACCGTAAGTCTGAGAGTAAAACACAGTTTTTGTCATAGACAGGTAGAAGTGAGATGTTTTGCCACAATGCAAAAATATGCTCTAAAACTGTACAGCAGTTATTTTTATCCGCCTTTGAGAGTACTTGAAGCAAAAGTGAAAAATGGAAGTAAAACTTAAAGGTGCGGTATGTAATATTGATAGTTAGCGGTTGAAATGGGTATTGCAGTCTAAATTCAAAACTCAATGCTCACGTGGGTTGCCAGGTGCAACAAGGAACAAGCCTTACACTGAAAGATGATGGGTTGATTTATTTGCGTTTTAATATTCCTCTGGTCATAGAGCTTTTTAGTTGGATTCTGAGGCTTTTTAGGTCAGGTAGAATCTGCAATCTCTCACCTAGTTCATTTGCTAGCTTCCATGGCTGCAATAGGCTGTGTTTTCTGCCAAATGGCAACCCAGGGTGTCAATACAACTGGGTAAATTGGCAGTGGGCGGAATCACACGGATCAAAACAAAAACAGACATTCTGACACAGAACCACAGTTCTAAGTAGAAGTGGCTGTTGTGTTGTTTTTCAGATAAACAAGTATGTGAACTTGGCATGTTTCCTAAATATCTGCAAACAAATTATGGAATTTTTATGCTTTAGCACAGTCAAAAAATTACATAAAGAACCTCTAATATGTAATGGCCTCAACATATTATGACATCTGGTGGTGAGTTGCAGTATTTTTTTATACTGTAATCAAGGTCTTGTTGACACTACATGCTACCTTTTTTCATGTGTTAAAAATACTTCTAGCATATTCAAGTCAAACGTTTAAATGCTTAGTTCCTTCTATCAGGTCTACCTAAAAGTCTTTAGCAGTTAAGTGACTGTTTTTGCAGTACAATACTCTTTGTCTTGTGAACAGGAAATATACTATCTCCTGAATCAATGTGGTAAAAACATCTTCTTGTCTGCAGGAAATCAGAATATACCATCCTTTTTGAAAAATGTTCTAAAAAATTTTCATAAAATAGGCCTTCATATTTGCAGTCTTCACAGACTGGGTAAAGAAATAACCACTCATAGGTGATTGACATAACTATTTAATGCTCCTATAACTTTTTATATATATATATATAATATAGTGTTACTTTAATAATACATCTTATTGAATCTTCGCCATGAAGAATGTTTTGTACAAACATTCGATTAAAAGGCTTGTCACACTTGATATGAATAGTTGTGTTTTTATGTTGTAATTAAAATGTATTGTACTAATTATCCATAAACAATGTATATTTGTTTTCTTTCAGTATAGATTTTTTTTTTGAATGAAGTATTATGTTTTCCTGACATGTTATAACGTAATACATTTTTATGAAATTTGACAATTTCTTGATCTTTAGCAAGCCAAACAAGGGAAAAGACAGAGTACGGAGCATAAGCAGGGAAAATAGTCAACGTAGGTATAGTCGAAGCAGAAGCCGGAGCCAAGACAGAAGCATGAGTTACTACAGAAGCTCCAGTCCTGAGTGGAGGGACGGCCAATACAGATACAAACGCAGCCGCAGTCGGAGCAAAGAGCGTGGAGAGAGATACCACCGGAGTCGCAGCAGAAGCAGAGAAAGGAGCAGCCAAAGTGCCAGGAAGAGAAGCTGCAGCCCTGCCGACACAAAGAGAGTTAAAAGCCCTGACAATGTAGAAGAACTATTGAGAAAAAGGAGAGAGCTAATGGAACTCAATGAGTTGATTGCACGTAAGAAAGCTATTGTCGCTATGGAGCAAAATGCAAAAAAAATTGATCCTGAGGATGGAAAAAGTGGAGTTACAACATTTGATTATCAGCATGTGCATCATGACAACATTTGGATGCCTGACCTAAAACCAGTGAAGTCCATCTTGAAGAAACAGTCTGAACCTCACACTGATTCTCAATCTCAGGTTTGTTTCTACTTGGACTCCTAGGTTTTGATTTATATTTTATTTTCTTCTGCATATCTCACGGTCTCTTTTATCTTCTCTAAGGCATCTACAAGCAAGGAAACTGCTGCTTTTTTTGTAAAGAGTCAGAGTCAAAAGATGCAAATTGGATACCCCCAGCAGACTTGTGCTTTTGGCTCAAGTACACCTGGCTACTCAACGTTTGAAAGTACTGCTGAGAGGACTTTGACCACTGCATCTTTAACTCAGATTCAGGATCCAGAATTTGTGAGAAAAAAGAAGCAATTAGAAGATCTCAGTGAGTCCATAGCACGCAAAAGAGCGATAACTGCCATTGAACAGAAGGTCAAAGTTGTTCGGGAAATGCCTGAAATGGAAGCGGAATACGAGTTTGACTCTCACACAGAGAACCAATTTGTAATGTCTAAAGGGAACTTATGGAGCAGCGAAATAAAACCTGCTATTCAACTGAAAAAGTCAATTTTGAAGAAACGCTCAGGGATTCTGTCTCAGGTTTGTTCATTGTAAAAGGTATTGTATGGATTAGCTCTCCTTGGTGGAAAAAACTGCTGAAGGTGGTAAAACTGTTTTTTTTTTCATTGGAGCATCATTACATTGACCGTAAGTCTGAGAGTAAAACACAGTTTTTGTCATAGACAGGTAGAAGTGAGATGTTTTGCCACAATGCAAAAATATGCTCTAAAACTGTACAGCAGTTATTTTTATCCGCCTTTGAGAGTACTTGAAGCAAAAGTGAAAAATGGAAGTAAAACTTAAAGGTGCGGTATGTAATATTGATAGTTAGCGGTTGAAATGGGTATTGCAGTCTAAATTCAAAACTCAATGCTCACGTGGGTTGCCAGGTGCAACAAGGAACAAGCCTTACACTGAAAGATGATGGGTTGATTTATTTGCGTTTTAATATTCCTCTGGTCATAGAGCTTTTTAGTTGGATTCTGAGGCTTTTTAGGTCAGGTAGAATCTGCAATCTCTCACCTAGTTCATTTGCTAGCTTCCATGGCTGCAATAGGCTGTGTTTTCTGCCAAATGGCAACCCAGGGTGTCAATACAACTGGGTAAATTGGCAGTGGGCGGAATCACACGGATCAAAACAAAAACAGACATTCTGACACAGAACCACAGTTCTAAGTAGAATAACTGGCTGTTGTGTTGTTTTTCAGATAAACAAGTATGTGAACTTGGCATGTTTCCTAAATATCTGCAAACAAATTATGGTATTTTTATGCTTTAGCACAGTCAAATAATCGCATACAGCATCTTTAAGTAATTTAGTTTTGCAAATACAAAATATAGTATGGCTGACATAAAAGAATAGTTAAATTAACTAATAAAAGTTTAAAAAGCATTTCTAAAATATATCGGATGTTGTCAAGCTTCTGCAATGTGATAATATAGAAGCCCTGCTTTGTTTGCTTTTCTTCTTCTTTTAGCTGACTTCCCATGACCTAATTCGCCCATTCGGAGAATTTGCATAAAATGAGGCACAGCAGCTGAAAAATTGTGTAAAACAGGTGTGTTGAATATTAAATACCACAAAGAGCATTTTGGGTTGAGGTAAGAGCTTCACAACTGCAGAAGGATGAGGAGTAATTGTTCATCTATCTATCTATCTATCCATCCGTCTAAGCATTACAACATCTATCTATCTATCCATCCATCCATCCATCTATCTATCTATCGACACTTACATCTATCTTTTTAACTGTTCATCCATCCATCCATCCGTTTGTCTGTCTATCTATCCTTATATCCATATCTACCTGTCCATCCATCCATCTACAAACCCGTCTACATATTCACCCATCCATCTATCAGTCTATCATAACTACATATATATATATATATATATATATATATAATATAGTGTTACTTTAATAATACATCTTATTGAATCTTCGCCATGAAGAATGTTTTGTACAAACATTCGATTAAAAGGCTTGTCACACTTGATATGAATAGTTGTGTTTTTATGTTGTAATTAAAATGTATTGTACTAATTATCCATAAACAATGTATATTTGTTTTCTTTCAGTATAGATTTTTTTTTTGAATGAAGTATTATGTTTTCCTGACATGTTATAACGTAATACATTTTTATGAAATTTGACAATTTCTTGATCTTTAGCAAGCCAAACAAGGGAAAAGACAGAGTACGGAGCATAAGCAGGGAAAATAGTCAACGTAGGTATAGTCGAAGCAGAAGCCGGAGCCAAGACAGAAGCATGAGTTACTACAGAAGCTCCAGTCCTGAGTGGAGGGACGGCCAATACAGATACAAACGCAGCCGCAGTCGGAGCAAAGAGCGTGGAGAGAGATACCACCGGAGTCGCAGCAGAAGCAGAGAAAGGAGCAGCCAAAGTGCCAGGAAGAGAAGCTGCAGCCCTGCCGACACAAAGAGAGTTAAAAGCCCTGACAATGTAGAAGAACTATTGAGAAAAAGGAGAGAGCTAATGGAACTCAATGAGTTGATTGCACGTAAGAAAGCTATTGTCGCTATGGAGCAAAATGCAAAAAAAATTGATCCTGAGGATGGAAAAAGTGGAGTTACAACATTTGATTATCAGCATGTGCATCATGACAACATTTGGATGCCTGACCTAAAACCAGTGAAGTCCATCTTGAAGAAACAGTCTGAACCTCACACTGATTCTCAATCTCAGGTTTGTTTCTACTTGGACTCCTAGGTTTTGATTTATATTTTATTTTCTTCTGCATATCTCACGGTCTCTTTTATCTTCTCTAAGGCATCTACAAGCAAGGAAACTGCTGCTTTTTTTGTAAAGAGTCAGAGTCAAAAGATGCAAATTGGATACCCCCAGCAGACTTGTGCTTTTGGCTCAAGTACACCTGGCTACTCAACGTTTGAAAGTACTGCTGAGAGGACTTTGACCACTGCATCTTTAACTCAGATTCAGGATCCAGAATTTGTGAGAAAAAAGAAGCAATTAGAAGATCTCAGTGAGTCCATAGCACGCAAAAGAGCGATAACTGCCATTGAACAGAAGGTCAAAGTTGTTCGGGAAATGCCTGAAATGGAAGCGGAATACGAGTTTGACTCTCACACAGAGAACCAATTTGTAATGTCTAAAGGGAACTTATGGAGCAGCGAAATAAAACCTGCTATTCAACTGAAAAAGTCAATTTTGAAGAAACGCTCAGGGATTCTGTCTCAGGTTTGTTCATTGTAAAAGGTATTGTATGGATTAGCTCTCCTTGGTGGAAAAAACTGCTGAAGGTGGTAAAACTGTTTTTTTTAATTTTTTTAAACATGTTAGCTGAGTAGTTGCTGGTAGTTGGCTAGATTCTGAACCCCACCAGCTATGGTGGTCTTCCAGGTCTGATTTTGACCAAGGTTGACCCATCCATCTACAGTCCATCGGATTGATCATAAAATGGCTAGTTTGGACCATCTAGAAAACGTATCGAACCAGCTACCACCTGAAGCTGGTTTTAGCTGGATGTCCCAGCTAGGCATGGGCCGGTATGATATTTTGACGGTATGATAACCTTAAGCAAAAATATCACAGTTTCACGGTATCACGGTATTGTCGTTACAGCTCTAAAATGTGTTATTTTTAAATGACTGGGTAAAAAAAAACTTTTCCCGCTAAACACAATATATTTTGTTTTTGAGCAACACAGAATATTAGGAACAGTAGTATTTGTTTATTTTTTCTTTGATTTGTTTCCTAAAAAGAAGAAAAATAAAGACCGACATCTTTATTTAACCTAAATCTGTAATTACAGTTTTCATTTTAGTTATATAATTCATATACATATCATTTATATAATTTCATATCATTTAGTTATATAATTTCATATACATAATTTGATTTAATAACCCAATTTGAAGCAAAA